CTCCATCACCTTCCCCATCATCCGTCGTCCAAAACCCCTCTGGTTCCCGACTCATTGGGCCCTCCGATCGCCGGTGCCGTCAAGCTTAGGTTTTTGTCATTCTTTGTCGAATTCTGGCGACGAAAATCTAATTCGATGTCACCACTGCAACCAGCGTCTCCTAATCTACAAAACCCCTATGTCCCAACAACCGTTTAGTGGCCATTCGCCGGTGGACACCGACGAAAACCAGTCACATGTGACGGCTATCGTGGCTGGAGATCGACGGGCGATGAGGGGTTGTCAAGGGTATGGTTTTGTAGAGGGGAGGATAAGGGTTCAAATGGTGGTGACAAGGGTGATTTTGAGTGGAAGAATCACTGGAAAAGAGTGAAAAACAACGGCGGTGATGTTGCTAACGTGCGTCGGATTTTTGTTAGGGGCGACGATCTGTTAATGTGCGCCTCCTCTATGAAATGACCGATTTACCCCTGAGCCGTTATATCTAACCATTTCCCGTTACTTTAAGGGTGGGAATCTGGAATAAATGGAACTTGTGGTACCAACTTGGAATTTTGTCAAACCTTGGGTGGGAATATGTTGTTTACTCTTAAAAAAAACAACAAACGTTTAACTGAACATCATTACTTAACAGAAACGGTAAAAAATCCTGTAACGAAGAAGATTTAAGTGAACAATTAAGACAAACACAAAATAGACAATATTCCATCACAAGTGCATTGGGAATTTATTCATTAAATAGAAAAAAAAAACAGACAGACATTAGCCATCACTAGTTGCCTTACTTCAGTTGAAGTTCATATCCTAGCTCTTCATCTCCAATAAGATAGGCCTACATAAATAAACAATAATAAGATAGTTAAATTACAGATTATAGATTAAAATATAAAATATGAATCGTTACTATTAATTTTAAGGCCAAGGAGATGTGAGAAAATTAGAAACAACACATGGTTGAAGAGATCACAATGTAATGACTGGATCTAGATCACACATTCTCTTTTGCGGCAATGAAGAAATCCAACAGGTGTGTTTAAACTATTCAATAAACATTCATTTATGTCAAGATTAAGCATGTAGTATACTCATAAATTAAGAAGAAAATGACAACCTTACCTTAATCAATTACGGAAATCTGAAATATTTGTAAGAGACTTAAGTACCGGACAGCACCTTGCCTCCATCTATTTCTGCTTCGCAAAACCATAGAAGTCTTGTGAACAAAACCTCTAACACCCCACATTCATGAATTCTAAGTTTAAACCAATGATAGTCAATTTTGGGTAATTTTCCATGGAGTTTGGGGCATTTCACAAGGGATAGCTCATCCAAGCTAGGGAATATTTCAATATGCTCATTTTCTTCAACAAGATCTCAGCGCTCCTATTTTTGAAAATCTTCAAAACAAAGAGTCTTCAGTGATTTAAAAGGACTTGAACAATCTTTTTTGAAAAGCTCAGAACCAATGCTTTTTATTCCTGTCATTCCTTTAATAGTGAGTTCAAGCAAGCCCAAGTTTCCAAGTGAAGGCAATATTGTGCATTTTTCACATCTTTCCAATGTTAAGACCACCATTTTAGAATATGTTGAATCTCCAACCCAGCTTGAAAATCTTGTGCCATTGTAGCCTTTGATTGTGAGTTCTTTTAGATTTTGGAGAGGTTGGATGTGTCTAATACATTTTCTTCCACTAACTCATCTTGTGTGTCAACCGAGAGTCCCACTCTAGTACCAGCACTTTTAGATCCTTCTTATCAATTAATATGGAGTCCTTTGTATCTTGTGAACCAGTTACATTGTGTAATCTTGAAATGTAAAGCTCACGAAGAAACTTTAAGTTTTCCAAATCCTTCAAATCAAAGCCTACACCTTTGCCTACAATAAAATTGAGTAATGTTTTAAAACATTCCAATTCTTTCATTCCTGATGACATTTCTATGAGTAAATTGACACCAGTAATATCAAGATGCCATAAATTGATCTTATCTATTACAGCACCATACTTTCAAGTCTCTCATTAAACCTCTGCCAAACAGAGGATATACACACTTTATGCTATAAAGTTTATAGAGAAATAAGGTAGATTAAAACTAGCACATTATAATAAAAGTGTTCTCACCAAATGCCTAAACCAACATGTAAATACAAATCTCCAGAACTCAACTCATCTCTTACTGCACATTACTGTCGTTAAACAGTGGATAAACACACTTGGCAGGTAATCGAGTTAGAACTAAAATATCATCATAAAATCAAAAACAAAACTAAATTTCTAATCCGACGACCCTCAAGTAAAACCAGAAACAGTCTATTACAATATTAAAGAGAAGATGTAATTTTAATGTGCTATCCATCGAAAGTGCATAGAAATGAAAGGAATAAAAGAGTCTATTACATGACTAAAGAGAAGATAATAAACACACAGACAAAATTCTATCACAAGTGCTTAGAAAAGAAAAAGAAAAACATAGTCTTTAACATTTATTCAGCAAACAAATAAAAACACAGAGATATTAGACATCACTAGTTGCCTTCCTTCAATTGAATTTCTGATCCACATAACGAATTATCTCCCATCTGAAGCACTCCGAAGTCTGATCTCCAATTAGATAGGCCTGCTTAAAAACGCAATAATAAACTAGTTAACCTCCCTTCCTATTTGCAAGCACAGCAGTTCTGAAATTTTTCTCTAAGTAATCAAGTTATAAACATCAAACTGATCAAAGGTCAAATCTACTAAAATCAGTCCCTAAGTAGATTTTCCAATATCTAACATGTAAAGGAATATTTAGTTCAAGAAGAAAGAACATTTATTGAGATAAAAAGAAAAGAGATGAGAGATCAAAGAGTTTCAGAAGATTACAGCCATACCTTATTCAAACTTTGCTTCCCGCACAAGATCCTGCATCAATCTACTTCTGATTCACAAAACCATTGGGAGGATTGGGAACGAAACCTCTAAATGCTTACATTCCTGAATTGTAAGTTTAAACTGAAAAAGGTGAAGTTCAGGTATTTTTCCACAGAGTTTGGGCCATTTCAAAAGGGAAAGCTCATGCAGGCAAAAGAATATTTCAAAATGCTCGTTTTCTTTAACAGAATCCCAATGCTCCCATTCCTGCAAATCCTCAAAACAAAGAGTCTCCTGCGATTTAAAAGGATTTGAGCAATATTTTCCGAAAATTTCAGAACCTATCCTTTTTATTCCCGTCATTCCTTTGATGGTGAGGTGTTTAAGTAAGCCCAGACATCCAAGTGAAGGCAGGACTGTGCATTTTTCACATCTTTCCAGTATTAAGACCACCAATTTAGAATATGTTGAATCTCCAACCCAGCTTGAAAATCTTGTGCCGCTGTAGCCTTTGGCGTTGAGTACCTCCAGATTTGCATGAGGCTGTAACGCATCCAATACATTCTCTTCCACCAACTGATTTCGTGTTTCATCCAACTGAGATTCCCACTCTAGTACCAGCACTTTCAGATACATCTTATCAATTAATAAGAAGTCCTCTGTGTCTTGTGGAGAAACTACATTGTGCAATCCTAAAATATAAAGGTCATGAAGAAACTTCGATTTCTTCAAGTAATTCAAATCAGATCCTCTGCCTTTGCCCACTATAAAATTTAGTAATATTTTGAGACATTTCAACTCTTCCATTCCTAATGGCATCTCTTTTATTAGATTGACACCGCTAATATCAAGATGTCTTAAATTGATCAAATCCCTCAGGTCAGAAGGCAACTCTATGATCTTGTGTCTAAAGGAAGATTTTATTCAATTGATTCAAGTACATTAAAAAACTACACCATTCAATCCCTTATATGTTAGTTAAAGGGATAACAATCCCTAACTACCCTGAACTGAATTTTGACAGCAGTTAAAGGGGATTAGAATTCATAAACTAACAATAACTACTCTTCAAATAACTTGAAATTTGAATTTCCAGGATCATGCCACGGCATGCTTTTTGGTGTGCTGCCGCATGGTGCTCTCGGGTCAATTCTGGGACTCTTCCTCAGACTCCCGTCGCGGAATGGTTTTCTGAATATCGCAGCATTCTTCCTTGATGCCGCGACTTTTGCGATGTTGCTGCATTGGGCTCTCTGGAATTCCTGATGCAAGCTTGTTGAAATGTTGATAATTTGCTGGAAAATTCAGTTAAGTTAGTTTGTTTTTTGAATGAGTTTTTGGTGTCAAGCAGCAGGTGCATTCCCTCTTTTCTGCCGAAATTGAAGCTGCTGGAGTTGTGCTAGAGTTGTTAATTTTGTGACATGTTTAGGTGTAATCAGCGTAAGATAACTTGTATTAAGTTCCCAACTTTGTTTTTTAAATTTTAAAGTTTGAATGGTTGTTGTAGTTGGTAAAACAGTAAGTTTTGCTGTGTATATATCATAAGTTACAGTATAATGAAAAATGCAGTTCATTTTTAGCATTTTCCTTTCCTTTCTTTCTTAGAGTTCTCTGGCCAAATACCAACAAAGCTCTCTTCTTGAAGCCACGGCATTCCTGTTTCTTCACAGTGGCATGGAACCCTCTGGACTGATTTTGGAGAAAGTCTTCCTTTCATGCCGGGGCACTCCTTTTCCCATGCCGTGGCATACCTTGCTTCTACCATCGTCAAGAACGGCAATGACGCAGGGCCACAAATGACTCTCAGTCCAAGTGCATTTCTTTTCCGGTCGAGTTCTTCCAATCGATTTGTCATATCCATTATGTTAGAGCTCAAATCGCCATCCAACACAGATTCGGATTCAAACCTGTGAAATTAGCAGGGATGATCGTTAAGGGACTTTTGTCACGCACTTAACTTCTTTGCTAAGTTCGTGCGGCCTTAACTCGTCGGAAATGAGTTAAGCAGCCTAACACTCACACAAACTCACAGGCTAAAAGCTTATAAACGAGAGAGAAGTATATAGAGAAAATCTAAACTCTGTATATTGATCGGATTCAAGATATGAACTTTACATGGTGGAGTTGCCTATTTATAGGCTCAAGCTCCTCAAAGTAAATGTATTAGTAAGCTACATGGGTGTCGAGCATTGGGGCAGCCTTGGAAACGAANTTCTGCCATCCATAGAAGGACAAGTTCCTTTTCTTCGAACTCATAATCTTTTGGTAAAATTGCACAATAATCAAAGCAAACTTTTGAATCTGAAGAAAGATCTTGGTAACTTAACTTTAGTCCTGGGAGAATCTCACTGTCATCAGCTGAATCCCATATTTTACTTTTCAAAAAATATTGCCACTCACCCTGATCCCATTTAGAGCATAGAAGACTACCCAGAATCCTTGCTGTCAAGGGTAACCCTCTACACTTTCGAACAACTAGCTCACGAATTAATTTTGAAGTCTTATGTATATCATCAGCTGTCCCAAATTCATAGTCTAAATCCTTACGTGCATCCGAATCTCTCTTAAATGCATACTTCGCAAATACGGACCAACAATCATCATTGGATAAAACCTCCAAGTTATAAGGTTGAATATTATTGGACTCCATTGATATCATAAGATCTGCACCACGTGTTGTCATGATTACCTTACTTCCTGGGGCACCAACTATTAGAGAAGACTTGAGAGTTTCCCACAAGCCATTGTTCTTGCTCAATACATCATCTAAGACTAGCAAGAATTTTCGACCAACTAGTGCTTCTTTCAGTTGAACCAGTACTTCATTTAAATTCTTTAGACCGCAGGATCTAGAAGTGATTGATTCAAGGATAGCCTTGGAGATTCTGAAAATATCAGAGTCCTCAGAAACAGAAACCCACGCCTTAGGCTTGAAGTGTTCTACTGTCTTGTCAGTGTACACAAGCCGAGCAAGCGTTGTTTTGCCAACTCCTGCAATGCCAATAATGGGTATTATGCTAAAGTTGGCATCACTTGGTTCATCTCTGAGCACCAATTCAAGAATTTTCATTTTATCTTCGTCCCTTCCATAAATAGTAGGTTCGCTCTTCGAATCCAGTCCCCTCTTGATTACCACTTTGGCTGGTGCAGAGTGAGTCATAATTTCAAGTGCATCCCTTTTCGTATTGAATTCTTTCAATCGGTTAACTGTATCTCTGCCCCTGCCATACATTTTATCTCTTCCCCTGCCATACATATTACCTCTGCCCCTGCGATAGATAGCATGTTCATTTGGAGAAACCCATTCAGGGTACTCTATCATAGATTCGCACGCTGTTAGCAGAGGGGGCCAAATGACTCTCAGTCCAAGTGCATTTCTTTTCCTGTCAAGTTCTTCCAATCGGTTAGTTATATCCATTATCTTAGACCTCAAATCGCCATCCAACACAGCATTCGGATTCGAAACTGTACAACGATCAGGCATGATGTTCAAGAAGGAACTGTTCTTGCCTGTCGTACGACTCTGACAAGCAGCCATCAACTCAAATTCATCCAGTATGTCCTTCAAATTATCAATCACGTTTTGGACATCGTACAGCCACGCTTTCACATCCACATTGGTGTGATCTCTTCTATTTTCCTCGGGAACTACTTTTATAAATGTCCTTAAGATTTCCATCCACTTGTCTGGAATTGAGCATAGCTGCTCTTGACCTGCAATCTGATTCATCTCAAACAAACTCCGCCCCATTCTTTCCAGCAACGGGCTGAGTGTATGATGGAGCGAGTAAAACATGGTTGAGAACTGTCACACAAAGAGAAGGATGATATGTGAAATGACACTCCCACAATAATCACTTAAAATGGTGCAAGAACTCTGAAAAGGAATAGGATTATAGATTTTTGTCCATACCTCAGTTTAAATTAATAATAATGATTTCCAGATTACTCTGTTTATAATATACTACAGTTAATAAAATCTTGAAAGAATGAATACTACATTTACTTAAAATACAACACCACATGTTTTAATCTATGTTAAATGTATAAAAAAATTAAATTTTTGAAAGTGATAAATCAATAAACAAGGAATAAATAAGAAATGCTTATGAACATACATCAAGAAAGGTAAACATGAAAATTTTACATCTAAAAGAGAAAACAGAAGAAAACATTTTACCTCAAAATACTAGTTTGTATGGCAGAATGAACCCAATCACCTCTTCCAAAATAGCGAAAGCTCTTAAAATTCTGGATGCCAACGATTTGAGCAAGTGTTTGAAAGTGGTTTAAAGGTGTTTTGTAAGTGACAGAAGAGATAAGAGATGGTTTGGAGTTTTTCATCAAAGTCAAAGGGTATATCATAGCTTTAAAAATACTCAAGTTGTTATATAATAATAATACACAATAATTAACAACTAAGATGGATTCCTTCTTGGAAGAAGTAAAGAAAGACTTCCTTCTTCGTGTTTTGTAAACACTATAGCCGAAATACATATTCCCGCCTTAGGTTTAGAAAATCTCTTAACTGGTATCCTGATTTTGAAAACTATCAATATTCCACCATCCCTTAATGTCCATTTAAGAAATTGCAATTTGACTGAATTTGACCCTTTAAACTATCACTTTCGCTTTGAGAAATAGTTATCAAAATGATGCCTTGCTTTAAACTGATCCGTCTGAAACCATATCTGCCAAACACAGCATCAACTTTAGTAGGTATGAATTTAAATTGCCAAACAATAGGATTTGATTAAGTTCACAAATTTCTTTTTAAGCAATCAATTAGATACCAGTGTATGGAAGCTATCGACTGTAAGGAAAACGAGAAGCTGATGTCGAACGTGGATGTGAAAATGTGGCTGGACCATGTTGAAGAGTTGGCTGATGATGTGGAGGAGATACTGGATGAGATTTCAAAACAAGCTTCGGGCCCAAAATTGATGGCTCAAAGTCAGATTACAATGGAAAATTGTATGACCTATCCCTAGTGAAATGCCCCAAACTCCGTGGAAAATTATCCGAAATTCACCAGTTTTGGTTTAAACTTGGAATTCAGGAATGTGGGGGTATTAGAGGTTTTGTTCAGAAGACGTCCATGGTTTAGCGAAACAGAAATAGATGGACGCAAGGTGCTGTGTGGTCCTTAAGTCTCTTATAAATATTTCAGATTATCGTAATTGATAAAGATAAGGTTTTCATTTTCTGAAACTCTTTTATCTCATTTATGAGTATACTACATACTTGATCTTAACGTAAATGAATGTTTACTGAATATTTTATACACACCTGTCGGATTTCTTCATTGTCTCCCCGAAGAGAATGTGTGATCTGGATCCAGTTATTACATTGTGATCTCTTCAACCATGTGTTGTTTCTAATATTCTAACCTCTCTTCGACCATGAATTAATAGCAACGATACATTGACGTGAGGAGTTTAAGGTATGGTTTCGCAGATCACGCACAAGGCCAGGTCGCAGATTATTAACAGGTCGTTGGTTCTTGATCAAAGGGCCGGCCATTAATAAATTAGCTCAACTCATTTAAGTGTGTCATGACATCTTTGATGATTTAAGCACAAAGAGGCTAGAAGTTTTGAATATTACTAAAGCATCCATGACCATGAATATAATCAAGTTCTGGCTCAGGCTCTGGCTCAGTCTCATCCTTGTCTTTTGTATGACATGCAGTTAATCATGGATCGAGATTTGTGCACCAAGTTGGAGCGACTGGAGAGCAGTTCTCCTGGTTGATGTCCCTTGGATGAGATTGCCATCATCGGAAAGAGAAGTTCACAAAAGCGCAGCATTTTTGCTTGTTGTCACAATCCAAATGCTGATAGTTGATACAAGTAAGCGAATCCATGGACTCAAGATGGAAATGTATGCAATTGGATTGCAAGTGACTACAATTCCATAAGTATATCTTGTAGTAGGTCCGGATCTACTTATGGGAGAGACATTTATGATGAAAATGATCCAAAGATATAGATGACTTGGCAGCGAGTGTTCTTGCTGGCCTTTTATACACTTTGAATGGAGTGATGAAGGACAAGGTATTTTGAATATGAGATTTATCAGATGATATTGAGATTCTTCCTGAACTATATAGTTTAACTAATATATTTTATTATTTTTTTTTTTTTTTTGCGCTGGCCAATTTTATGGGAGATCCAGAGTGCTTTAAAGGTAAGTGGATCAGAGGACACCAAGTTCAACTGCAGCGAGGCAATTTGTGTTTTCTAATGTCTGCAGTTTGTTTGTTTTTATGTTTTGAATAAATGTTAAAGACCTGTTGTGTTTCCTTTTTCATTTCTATGCACTTTTTGGTGGAATAAATGTAAAAGACTTCAATTAGTCTTCTTTTTCATTAGCTTCTATGAAGTTTTGATGGTTGACTATTGAAATATGTGTGCTTGATTTTATTTCTGGTTTAGGAAACTTGTTACCATACATTTGAAGCACTAATTTTTTCTGCAAATTATGAATGGTTCATATATCATTAAATATTTGTGGAGAAACAGAGGATCCCCTAAGCAGGAAATTTCATGATAAATTTGCATCTTGATAATTAAATCTGGTTCTAGTTACAGTTTCTTGCGGTATCAGACTGATGGAGTTCTGGAATTTGACATTTGCGTTATTTCTATGTTGGTTTACATTGATAGACTTAGAGAAAAGTTGGTTCAATGGTTCACATGAGTGACCCTTTTTCTGAATTATTGGTATTCCAAAGAGAGAACTACTTTATTAACCCTGTGTTTATAGTCAACTAGCCCAAGTCCTGCAGTTTCAAATACTAGCAAACTGCTCCTTGGAATTAGCAGACTAAGCTTAGTTAAACTAACTAAAATACCCTGAAAAGTATTGTGTATTGTTTAAAATATTTAGAGAAACTGTCATTGAACTCTCTTTTCTCTTCCAACAACTTTCTCAAATTCTTTTTCAGTTTTTCTCAGCAACCAAACGGGTTCTATCCTTTTTAACCTTTTCCAAAAAAAAAAAAAAAAATCAATAGCCATAATCACCTAGGCTGTGGGATGGGATGGGTGAACCAAAAAAGTGAAAGCTGTGGCAGTAAAAGTCTTCCAAGCAATTTACTGATTGTATTTACAGCATTTCTACTCGACGAAGCAGAGCATCTTACTATGGAATCCAAGATCAGGGGGGCTGAATTAATTATATTAAAATGCCTTTCCACATTTTCCGTTAGAACAAGTCCAAAAATTGATTCTTTTAATCCTTGGAATATGATTCCTTCAAATATTATAATAATAGTTCTTGATTGTCGAGAGAGCTAACCATGAGTCTGATGTCTCAAAATCTCTAGACTTTATCCATTTTCAATCCCAAACTTTTTCATCATAATTTACAGAGTTAGATTTGAGATTTTTGGGATTTGAATGATACGGGTTTTGGATGGTGACTTAAGGTAAGGGTGTTATTGCTCTTGTTGACTACGTTTGTGACAGTGGCTAGCTTTATCCAGCCTGGTGGACTGGAGAACAGAGATCAAGTGGATAAGAATGGAGGACATTGGCAGAGAACAAGAGTAAAAGATTTGGTCAATTTTTTATTTGGAATGTTTCTAGAAAAAATATTATTATATAAATTTTCCTGTAAACGAGGTGTTGACTATTTGACTCCATTTTCCTAGGTTACTCTGAACAATCATATATTATTGTATGACAGCTAGTTCCATGATCAAAAATAGCTTCCTTATATAAAAAAAACTCTCGACCCAGGCACCCATTTCTCTCCTAAACTCTCTAGCTCACTCAAACTCTCTCAAATTTGATCTACTTTCAAGTGTTGAGGTACGTAGATTACAAGTATTTGAATACTATTCCTTGTTTTTCTGTTCAGTTTAATTTTAGATATGGATAACAATATATAACCCTACTCCCTCATTACACCTTTGCCCACTTAATGTTGCATAACCTTGTCTTCCGAATTGAATCTGTCCTGCTAAACTGTTAGGAAATTTCTTTTGACATTCATACTGTACAACAGACAAATCACAAAATACAAACAGATCGAGAAACTATTTGTCTTTATATTGTACGAGATTAATTGGACTTGAATTAAATGTTCTTGTGATTTTGTATAATGTCATTGCTGTTAAAAAATGTACAAGTGCAATCAGATTAATTTTGTTACCCCAATTACTATGTTGTTTATAAATTTCACTGAATAGATGTTTCATCAAGCACTTTTTCTTTGTTAATTGCTGTTATCTCATCATCGCCCTTTCTCTTTGTGAGAGCCCTAGTTTATTATTCGTTTACAACGTTTGACAGACAAAACCAAAACCATGCCGGTGGGAGAGCTCTTTCTCTCTGCATTCCTTCAGGTGCTGTTTGACAGACTGGCATCCAGAGAGTTGTTGCAGCTTGCACTTCAAGATGATGTACTTTCAGAGCTAGAAAAGTGGGGAACAAGGTGGAGCTATATTGATGCACTGCTCATTGATGCAGAGGAGAAGCAACTGACTAACAGAGCTGTGAAAATGTGGCTTGATGATCTCCAAGATTTGGCTTATGATGTGGAGGACATTCTTGACGAGTTTGACACTCATGCTTTAGAGCTTAAAATTATGGCAGATCGTCATCCTAGCATCGGGTGTGTACGGAACATCATCCCGGATTGTTTCAGTAGTTTGAGTCCTCATGCTATTAAGTTCAAAGTCAGCATGAAGTCGAAAATTAAAGATATCAACAGCCAGTTCGAAGACCTCTATGAAGCAAAAGATAATCTTGGTTTGACAACAGCAATTTCTGGAGGCTCATCAACTGCTGCATACCGAAGACTAGCAGATACATGTGTGCCAACCGAACCTGGTGTTTATGGGAGAGATGATGATAAAGCCAGAATACTTGAAATGGTGTTGCGGGATGAACCCAGCAATGCCAAATTTCATGTTATAACCATTGCCGGTATGGGAGGAATTGGCAAAACTACGCTCACTCGAGAAGTCTACAATGACAAGGAGGTGAAAGATTTCAACCCAAAAGTATGGGTTTCTGTCTCCGAGGATTTCGATGTTCAAAGAATCTCCAAGGCAATCCTCGAGTCAATCAAGCTTTCCCCATGCTGTTTAACGGATTTAAATCCGATTCAACTTACAATGTCAGAGCAATTACGTGATAAAAAATTCTTTCTTGTTTTAGATGATGTTTGGAGTGAGGGAGATATTAATAACAACTGGGAGTCTCTAAAATCTCCTTTTATGGTTGGAGCACCAGGAAGTAAGATAGTTGTGACAACACGCGATAGAAGGGTTGCATCAACAATGGGAAACGATGAATGTTATAACTTGGAGCTTCTTTCAGACCATGACTGTTGGGCTATATTCAAGAAACATGCATTTCAGGGCAAAGACGTTGATCCAGATGGAATCTCAGACTTTGTTCGTGAGAAAGTTGTTGAAAAGTGCAAAGGTTTGCCTTTAGCTGCAAGGGCTCTTGGTGGCTTTCTACGTTCTGAGTAGATAAATAAATGGAAATCTATACTGAATGAGAAGTTATCGGATGAAAATAATAAGATTCTACCGGTATTAAGATTAAGCTACAATCATCTTTCTTTTCATTTAAAAAGATGTTTTACTTATTGTGCTATTTTTCCAAAGAACTATGAGTTCGTGGAGAAACATCTCATCTTTTTATGGATGACACAAGGCCTTATTCAACCATTACGAACCGATAGTCCATTAGAAGAAATAGGTGGTACATATTTTGACAGTCTGTTGTCAAGATCCCTTTTTCAAAAATCAGGAAAAGATGATTCCACATTCGTAATGCATGATCTCGTCCATGATCTAGCGCAATCAGTTTCTCAAAGAACATGCTTCGAGTTGAAGAATAAACTGGGACGTAACAAGAAATGTATCAAAATAGCTCGCTATTCTTCTTACATTTCCGGTAATTATGATGGCAAGAATAAATTTGAAGTCCTCTTTGAAGCCGAGCGCCTAAGAACTTTCTTGCCAGTGCGGCTATATAATGATGGTACTCGTTACATAACTTCTCTGGTTCTTCATGATATGTTGCCAAAGCTGAAAAAACTGAGGATGCTATCTTTAGCAACATATTATATCACCAAACTACCAGATTCCATTGGAGGCTTGATACATTTAAGGTTCCTCAACCTTTCTCAAACTATGATCAGAAATTTACCAGAGTCAACAAGTTTGTTGTACAACTTGCAGATTTTGTTACTAACAGATTGTTGTTTTCTCTTGAAACTACCTACCAAGATGAGGAATTTGATCCGTCTACGTCATCTTGATATATCAGGTGCAAATTTAATATCAGAAATGCCTATAGGAATGAGATATTTGACATGCCTCCAAACATTATCTAATTTTATAGTGGGGAAAGATAATGGATCTAGTTTAGATGATTTGCAGTGTTTAAAGGATCTTCGGGAAAGGCTTTGTATCTCAAAGCTAGAGAATTCACAGGATCCAAGAGCATACATATTAGGAGACAAGGATAAGCTACAAGTGTTGAGTTTAGAATGGAGTCCTGAACTTGATAATGCAAGAGACAAAGCAGCAGAAGAATATGTACTTGAAATGCTACAGCCTCACAGGAATCTGGAAGAACTCACAATCAAATGTTATGCGGGTACAGAATTTCCACCTTGGGTGGGGGATCCCTCCTCTACACCAGTGGTTCTAAGAGTCCTAAGGTTGGAGAGTTGTAAAAATTGCACTTCTTTGCCTTCACTGGGGCTATTTACATCGCTAAAAGACCTCACCATCAAAGACATGACAGGAATAAAAAGGATTGGTTCGGAGATTTATGGGGAGGGTTGCTTTCAATCATTGGAGAATCTTTATTTTGAGGATATGGAAGAATGGGAACATTGGGATCCTATTGAAGAAAATGAGCCTGTTCAAAGATTCCCTCGTCTTCAAAAGCTTTCCATCAAAAATTGCCCCAAACTCTCTGGAGCACCACTTAATCATCTTCAGTCATTGGAGAAATTTAAGATTTTTAATTGTGCACAGTTGGTGGTTTCATTCTCAAGCCTTCCAAAGCTGTGCAAATTACAAATAGATGGATGCAAAAAGATGATATGCAATAGTCTAACTGACTCTAAATCACTAAAGTCTATGACTCTTTCAGATTTTTGTGAGTTTGGAAATTGGTTGAGACAAGAACCGTCTGCCCTCACCTCCCTCCGAGAGCTATGCATTCAAAACTGCAGGGTTTTAACATCCTTACCTGAAGGTCTGAAGAATTTTTCTCATCTTGAATGTTTAGAAGTTGAAGATTGTGATTCTCTAACATCCATTGTCAGAGAGCACGTTCCCTCATCATTAAAGAGATTCTCTGTATTGAACTGTGAGAATCTGCAATGTTTGTTTGATGGTAGAGAGGATTTTTCTTCTTCTGCTTCGGTGAGTGATGAATCTACTCTAGAATATTTGTCCGTCTCCAACTGCCTAGCTCTCAAGAGCTTATCATTAAAAGGCCAATTATTTGCTGCACTTAAATTCCTTCGGATGCGGAATTGTCTAAAGCTCACATCAATTTCATCAGGAGATGAGTTACCTGAGGCACTCAAACACCTAAAGATTTCAAAATGCTCTGAACTCACAACCGTGGTAAGAGACAAGTTACCTGAGACGCTTGAGTACCTGCAAATTGACAGCTGCGCAAAGCTAGAGTCAATAGCAGGAAGGTTCCATGATAACCTGTCTCTTCGTTTTGTTCAGATCTCAAATTGCAACAAAATTCAGTCCTTACCTGACGATATTCACAATCTTAGGGGTCTTCATAGGTTTGAAATAAATGATTGTCCGAGCCTTGTTTGCTTCCCACATGAAGGGCTTCCCTCCTCAGTTTTTAGTGTTTCAATTCGTAATTGTGAGAAACTTGAAGCTTTACCCAGCAGCATGAACAAGCTCAACTCTCTTCAGGAATTAACCATTCACGAGTGTCCAAGAATCCCATCAATTCCTGCTGAAAGTTTTCCCATCAACCTAACTTTACTCTCGGTTGAAAATCAGAATATCAGTGAATCATCACTTGTTGACTGGAAGTTGCACAGGCTGAGATATCTTAAACATCTTTCCATTCTTGGATGCTCAGATGCAGTGTCTTTTCCACCTGAGAAAATGCTACTTCCTTCCTCTTTAACGAATCTGGACATTCAAAATTTCCAGAAACTGAAATACCTAACTTCTCAGGGTTTCAGAAGCCTCACCGCTCTCGAACATTTATTGATAGGAGAATGCCCAAATCTCACATCACTTCCAGAGAAGGGTCTCCTATCTTCACTCTTACGATTAAGAGTTTTTGGTTGTCCTGTGCTGAAAAAAAGGTGCAAGAGGGATAAAGGAAAAGACTGGTCTAAGATATCTCACATTCCTTGTGTTGAGATAGATCAAAAATTCATTTATGAGGAATAAACTCTGTTTGATGTCAAGAACAATGAAAGTTAGTAGAATCAGAGAATTGCCCCATTCTTCTTTGTACTCTTATCTGAGGTATTTCAATTTCGAAACCTGGACAATTGTTTACTTTCATTAGGAAAAAAATATTTGAACTTTATGATAACATATTGTTAATTACATACAGATGAAGCTTTTTATCTTTGTTCTTTTAGTGAACTGCTTCTTCATTTCAGTGATTCCTTCAACAGCTTTTGGTGAAAGGTTTGTGAAGATATTTGTGAACTTAATCAAATTCCATTGTTTACAAATTTTGTTATCAAAAATACTAAAGCATTTGATATTATGTTCGGCAGAAACAGGGTTCACTTTTCAGTTGGATGATCAGTTTATCTTTACTAAAGTCCAGTTTTTCCTGCCGCCTTCTTCAGCATCTTCATGCAAGTATATTCAACTCTTTTCTATATCTGATGTTAGATGTTACAAATAATCCAACAGTATTTAGCAGAGTCTACGTCAACCCAAGATGCATCTTCCTCTTTGGGACTTCCAAAAGGTTCTTTTGGAACGCCAATACAGATAAATTGAAAGAAATATAGGTGCATTACTTTCGTCCCTGTTTTTTCTTAGAAATGCAGCCTGACTCTGAATTTTAATGAGATTTCGCGTTTAACACAACTCTAATCAGCAGGATGCTAACAGCTAAATCTTAAACCACAGACCATGGCTGTGTTGGTCTGGAAATTAATGTCATTGTGAATATGTATTATTATTTATCAAGATGAAACTGTTGAAATTCTGTACTGAGACAGAGAATCCAACAATAAGTAAAATACTGGGAGAATTTAAATTTTATACACAGCTTTGTAAATAGTTGGGAGTCAATGTTCTCCTTGTGTATCACTGGCTTCTTTTCCTGGTAAAATATATGCCTACTAAATCTGTCAATCTTTTTTTTTAGGATGAAACTCTCAGGATATCTAGTATAAGAAACCGCTACAAGAGCCAACCGTGCTGAATGCGACACTTCCTGATCCTGAAGAACGTTGTCCTATGTCTGGTTCAGGCTCACCCTTCCACAAGCACAACAGGGTAGGAATGAAAGAGCAAAAACTAGGAGGCTTCCTTATTAGAGTATCACTGTGGAAGACGGTAAACTCTCCGAGTACTGCTATTGACAAGAGTCTTCCATAGAACAAATCTATGGTACAACTAACTAGTTATGAGGCAACTGCATGTCACATGTGCTGATGTGGTGTCCTATTATTGGTTGGTTGTATGTTAGTATTACTGACATGACACTGTACATGTTAGTATTACTTTGTCTATGTAAAGAGTGTTTTTCCTCTATTGGGCTGAGGTTTAACATTGAGACTTAAAGAGTTTTGTGTTGTAGGAGATCATTAAGTCATATAAGACTGTTCCATATAAGTTTTTTTCGTATTTCATTATCAAATTGAAGAACAAAATTATAATATAAACATAAATCTCTCACATTTCTCAGTAGATCGGGTTCTATAACAAAGTCTGAATAATTTGATTCCTTTGCAAACTCTTAATTATTGTAAGTACAGTAGTTAACTAGCACCGTTCCTTAGTGTGAACAGTTCTTTATAAAGTCCACGCGGTTAATATAAGTATTTATATTTACATATATCCATAGAAAAGGAGATATATCACATGCTATCATATTATTTTAATCCATTTAAATTCAAAATATCTAGATTCAGATTATATTAAGAATGGCAGTTTTGATCAATTGATGTGAGAGGGTTAAGGTATGGTTCAGCAGATCTCCCACACGGCCAGGTTTTATCTGATCCATGAATTTGATTTGTTCTTGGTTNCATCTTCCTCTTTGGGACTTCCAAAAGGTTCTTTTGGAACGCCAATACAGATAAATTGAAAGAAATATAGGTGCATTACTTTCGTCCCTGTTTTTTTCTTAGAAATGCAGCCTGACTCTGAATTTTAATGAGATTTCGCGTTTAACACAACTCTAATCAGCAGGATGCTAACAGCTAAATCTTAAACCACAGACCATGGCTGTGTTGGTCTGGAAATTAATGTCATTGTGAATATGTATTATTATTTATCAAGATGAAACTGTTGAAATTCTGTACTGAGACAGAGAATCCAACAATAAGTAAAATACTGGGAGAATTTAAATTTTATACACAGCTTTGTAAATAGTTGGGAGTCAATGTTCTCCTTGTGTATCACTGGCTTCTTTTCCTGGTAAAATATATGCCTACTAAATCTGTCAATCTTTTTTTTTAGGATGAAACTCTCAGGATATCTAGTATAAGAAACCGCTACAAGAGCCAACCGTGCTGAATGCGACACTTCCTGATCCTGAAGAACGTTGTCCTATGTCTGGTTCAGGCTCACCCTTCCACAAGCACAACAGGGTAGGAATGAAAGAGCAAAAACTAGGAGGCTTCCTTATTAGAGTATCACTGTGGAAGACGGTAAACTCTCCGAGTACTGCTATTGACAAGAGTCTTCCATAGAACAAATCTATGGTACAACTAACTAGTTATGAGGCAACTGCATGTCACATGTGCTGATGTGGTGTCCTATTATTGGTTGGTTGTATGTTAGTATTACTGACATGACACTGTACATGTTAGTATTACTTTGTCTATGTAAAGAGTGTTTTTCCTCTATTGGGCTGAGGTTTAACATTGAGACTTAAAGAGTTTTGTGTTGTAGGAGATCATTAAGTCATATAAGACTGTTCCATATAAGTTTTTTTCGTATTTCATTATCAAATTGAAGAACAAAATTATAATATAAACATAAATCTCTCACATTTCTCAGTAGATCGGGGTCTATAACAAAGTCTGAATAATTTGATTCCTTTGCAAACTCTTAATTATTGTAAGTACAGTAGTTAACTAGCACCGTTCATTAGTGTGAACAGTTTTTTATAAAGTGCACGCGGTTAATATAAGTATTTATATTTACATATATCCATAGAAAAGGAGATATATCACATGCTATCATATTATTTTAATCCATTTAAATTCAAAATATCTAGATTCAGATTATATTAAGAATGGCAGTTTTGATCAGTTGATGTGAGAGGGTTAAGGTATGGTTCAGCAGATCTCCCACACGGCCAGGTTTTATCTGATCCATGAATTTGATTTGTTCTTGGTTCTTGGTTCTTGGTCAGAGGGGTTCATTAATTTGTAGTTAGTGTGAACAGGTTACAAACAAAGACGAAACTGTGATCAAAAGGCCACCCGGATTTAGTTCCTAATGTAGAGGGAGAATCAAACAATTAATGAGCTTATCAGATTAATTGAACCAAATTAGCTAAACAGCACCTACCACTCACATTATTAATGCAAACGAGTTGACTTAATTTGCATGGCTTCACACGGCTTAATTTTTATACATTTTCTAATACACAAAGACTGAAAATGGAGTCATTCTTTATATTTTCCTTTACATGACTTACGAACCTTCTTTTGCGTGAAACAATTATATAAAATTTTGATATCATCACCAATTCCTTCTATTAATACTCTTCCCCATTCCTTGCTTGTTCACTCATATACTACTCTCTAACTCTCTCATAACAATGATTCCCCACGTAGATTTCTCGGTGTGTTAAGGTACGTATAGACTGAATTCATTCTTTTCATATTTACATTCTTGTGTCTTTTCCAATCAAGCTTTCCAAGTTTAGCCCATATTGTTTTAACAAACATCTTTGATGATTTTAGCAAAGTTTATAATAGTTATAATTTAGGATAAGAGAAGCAGAATTTCTGAATATTTTTGAAGTATCCATAAGCATGAATATGATCAAGCTCTGGTTCAATCTCAGTCTCATCTTTCTCTTTTGTGTGACAGTTAATCATGGATCGAAAGTTGAGCAGCAAGTTGCTGCAACTGGAGGAGCAGCTCTCCAGGTTGACGTCCCTGCAATATGGAAATCACCTTTGTAAAAAGGTAATTCCATGGAGGGAAGAGTTTAAGACTTTCAGGGAAGTCATTAACGACAAAAAGAATAAGGAGAAGCTAAAGTATTTCAACAAGGATGAGAAACTAGACTGGCTGGAGGACGTCAAAAAGTTGGTTGATGATGTGAAAAAGATACTGGATGAGATTGTTTTCATCGTAAAGACAACTTCACAAAAGCGCAGCATCTTGGCTTTTTACCGCAATCCAATTGCTGATACTGCGTTTACAGATACTCATCGAATAGCTTAGACACGTAAGCGAATCGATAGACTCAAGACAAAGATGTATGCAATTGGATTGCAAGTGAGCAACAGATCCGTGCCTTGTAGTGGGCCCGAATTGTGCAAACCTGCAGGTTTGCCCAATTCGGAAGCTATTTATGGGAGAGACGTTACTGATGAAAGTGATCTTGTCAACTTCAGTATAATGCCTACTATCGGCATGGCAGGGATTTGCAAACCAAGCCTTGCTCGACTTGAATACAATGATGAGGCAGTTGAAGACTTCAAACCAGAAGAGTCCGATGTTTCAAGAATCTCTAAGGCGATTTTGGAGCCGGTCACTTCTAAATCCTGCGATCTAAAGGATGTAAATGACTTGGCAGCGAGTATTCTTGCTGGCCTTCTATGTACTCTGAGTGGATTGATGAATGACAAGGTATGTGGAACAATAAAATTTGGGATTGAGCGGATGATTATGAGATCCTTCCTGAACTATAGTTTAATTGATATTATATCTTATTATTGCTTTTTTATGCAGGCCAATCTTACGGGAGATCCAGAGTGCTTCAAAGGAGAGATAATTGGCGGAGGGAATACCAAGTTCAACTGGAGCAAGGACATTTGTGTTTTCTAGTGTCTGCAGTATTTTTTTGTGTTTTGAATAAACGTTAAAGACGATTTGTTTTTCCTTTCCATTTCCATGCATTTTTTATTGAATAAATGTAAGACTTTGGTCTTCTTTTTCATTAATTTCTTTGAACATTTGTTGGTTGACGACTGAATGTCTACTTGTTTTTTATTTCTGGTTTAGGAAGCTTATTACTACACATTTGCTGCACTATTCTTTCTGCAAATTATGAATGGTCTAATATCATATCATTAAACATTTGAGGAAAAACAGAGGACCCTGTTCAGAAAATTTCAAGACATGCACACTTCGATCTTGATCAATATATCTGGTTGTAGTTACAGTTTCTTACAATAATAGACCGATTGAAGTTCCATAATTGGCTTTTGCATAACTTTTACTTTGGTTTATGCAGATGAACTTCGATTTATTATGTTCATCATGTTTACAATATCCACATTCATTTCTTCTCTTAATTTCCACAGAGAGAAAGCTATCAGTAGATAGTTGTGAGAAACTTTGTTGGATGATGCAGAAGATGTAGGCACTTCTCTATCTTCTTCATCATCTTCTTCAATGATCCACACTACCATATCTCAACTCGAGTACTTGGAGATCACGAATTGCTCATCTCTCACCTGTTTATCATCAAAACTTCTTTCACTTACTAAACTCAAGCACCTCAAAATTATTACTCAACTCTCTTTCCTTTATCATTAATGGGTAATTTACCTGCACTCAAAAGAACTGAAATCTCCAACTGCCCAAAACCCCATTTTATTTTTAGAAAACTAGTTAACTGAGATACTTGAATACCTCAGAATTAGTTTATGTGAAAAGTTAGAGCTAATAGCCAAGAGGTTTCATGATAACATGGCGCTCTCAAGGAAATTTACATCGACTTCTGTCATAATCTTGAATCCTTACCCAATGGTTTACGCAATCTTAGTTCTTTTCAAAAGATTTTTATTCTTGGATGTCTAAGTCGTGTTTCCTCCCCACCAGCCTCACATCACTTGTAATTCAAAGTCCTGATATCTCTAAGCCACTGATGAAATGGAGATTGCAGAAGCTCACCTCTCTTACTTCACTCTGGATTAATCAAGTCCCGGATTCGGAATCTTTTCTAGAAGAAGGGATGTTGCCACTCTCTTTAACTCAGCTGCGGATTTGTAGTTTCCCGAAATTAAAATACTTACGGTCTGAAGCTTTTCGAAACCTCACACTCTACAGCATTTAGAGATCTCTTTTTGCCTGAATCTCTCATCCTTCAAAGGGGGAGCCTCACATCCTCCCTTTTTTGAAATTAGAAATTGGACCTTGCCCTCTGTTAAAAGAACAATGTAAGAGTGATGGAGGCCAGGAGTGGTCCAAGATTTCCCGTATCACTCACATCAATATTTGGCCATAGATTTGGTTACTAATTACGGAGAATGATCACAAGCTCAAACCAGAAAGATAGCTTATGAAATTCTGCTCTTTCTCCATAATTATTAAATTAATTTACATTTAATTCTCCACTATTCAGTTTTGATTTAATCAATTGTCAACAGTATGCTTCCACTGGTATAGCTTAACAGTACTTGTAAACATATTTATAATAATGGTACAGTGCTACAACATTGCTACTTAACGTCTACTGGAATTAGCAGCAGTTACGTTGCCGTGTTTATACAGTTTCACAACATTTTTTTTTTTTTACGAATGTTGCATAATGGCAATGGCGATTATGTAAACCTTTTTTCACTTTTCAGTAGCATTTGAAGTAATGTTACATTATGGGTAAATGTTTATGTAACTACATAGACGGTGGCACTTAAGATGCAAGTTAATTGTAAGTAACGCTAAGGGTGTGTTTGGCTAAGGATATTCCCTTACTGAAGTAATGTCATCTTATATTACTTTATTACCATATAAATCAATAGTAATTATTATTGATTATATAGGAAGTAATCTAATTACCTCTATTTTCTTAGATATTTTATTATTATTTGATAATCTTATTTTTATTATAATTTTACCCTTAACTATTAAAAATTTTGGACAATAATGCCCTTATTTTGAAAACAATTTATAAATATATTCATAAATTATTTTATCCTTATATACAAAATTTTTAGGACATAAATACACTTGGACTTTAAAAAAAAATTATTCAAGGATGGTGGTTGGATCTGGCCACCACCGCCAGCTGTCGGTTGGCATCAGAATGTTGCATGACCGACCTGATCTGGTTTTTTACAAACTCAACTTCTATCTTAATTATTGTAAATGCAGTAGCTAAGAAGTTCCGTTTCTAAGTGTGAACAGTTAATTACAAAGTCCACACGGTTAATATAAACATTTATATTTACATAAATCCATAGAGAAGGAGATATATCACATGCTATCATATTATTTTAAACCCTAGATTTTAATTATATTAAGAATGGCAGTCAATTTCCACAGAGAGTTAAGGTTTACAGCACCGCCAGAGAGTTATGGTTTAACAGATCTCGCACATGGCCAGGTAGCAGCTAATTAACAGGTTTTATCTGATCCATCAACTTGATCTGTTATTGGTTCCTGGTCAGAGGGCAACCGTTAATTTCTTAGTATGACCAGATTTTAAACAAAGACGAAACTGTGATCAAAAGTACATACGCGGTTTTAGTTCTTAATTTAGAGGGAGAATCTAACAACAATTAAGCTCATCAGATCAATTGAACCAAATTAGCTAAACAGCACCTACCACTCCCATTATTAAGGTAAAGAGTTGACTTAATTTGCAAGGCTTCACATGGCTTAATTTTTATATATTTTCCAAAGCTCGAAGACTAAGATATTAATGGAGTCATTCTTTATATTTGTTTAAATTTCATGACTCATGAACCAAAGTTTGTGTGAAACAATTATATAAAATTGTAATTTCATCACCAATTTCTTCTATAAATACCATCCCCTATTCCTTCCTTGTTCACTCATACGCTACTCTTATCAAACTTTCTCATAACAATGATTCCCCTCTTAGATTTCTCGGTGTGTTAAGGTACGTATAGACTAATTAGAAGTATTTTACTATCTGTTATGTTTTTTTCCCTTTTTGGACGAGTTGATTCATTCTTTTTTCATGTTTTTAAGTGTGCCATCGTAAGTCACTAATACATCATAGTTGAACTCATTTTACTGCTTCATGAAACCTTCATCGTCCTCCAACCTTAGGCCACAAAATCGGTCATTAAAGTGTTAGTTTGTCGATTGGATAATGTCTTTTCCAATAAAGCTTTTCAAGTTTAGCCCATATTGTTTTAACAAACATCTTCCATGATTTTAGCAAAAGTTTATAATTATATTTTTAATTTAGGGTAAGAGAACGAGAAGTTTTGAATATTTTAAAGCATCCATGACCATGAATATGATCAAGCTCTGGTTCAGTCTCAGTTTCATCCTTGCCTTTTGTGTGACATGCAGTTAATCATGGTTCGAGACTTGCGCATCAAGTTGGAGCGACTGGAGACCCTGTTCTCCAAGTTGCCGCCCCCTGGATATCAAAATGAACTATGTTCAATGGTAACTCCGTGGAAGGCAGATTTCAAGATTTTTAAGGAAGTTATTAGCGACAAAAAGAATAAGGAGAAGCTAAAGTACTTCAACAACGATGAGAACGTACTACGCTGGCTGGAGGACGTCAAAACGTTGGCTGATGATGTGCAGGAGATACTGGATAAGATTGTTATCATCGGAAAGGCAAGTTCACGTAAGCGCAGCATCTTTGCTTGTTGCCGCAATCCAGTAGCTGATACTGCATTTGATACTCGTCAAATAGATGATGCCAGTAAGCGAATCCATGCACTCAAGAAAAGAATGAAAGACACCGGATTGAAAGTGAGATACAAACACATAATATGTCGTAGGCCCGAATTGTGCAAATCTGCAGGTTTGCCCAATTCGGGCGTTATTTATGGGAGAGACATTACTGTTGAAAGTGGCCACGGCAACTTCAGTATAATGCCTATTATCGGCATGGCGGGACTTGGCAAAACAAGCCTTACTCGACTTGTGTACGATGACGAGGCAGTTGAAGACTTCAAACCTGAAGATTCCAACGTTTCGAGAATCTCTAAGGCGACTCTGGAGTCAATCACTTCTGCATCCTGCAATCTAAAGGATATAAATGACTTGGCTGCGACTATTCTTGCTGGCCTTTTATGCGCTTTGAATGGAGAGATGAATGACAAGGTATATTGAACAGCAAAATATGAGATTTAGCAGATGATATTGAGATTCTTCCTGAACTATGTAGTTTAACTAATATATTTTGTTATTGTTTTTTCCACGCAGGCCAATGTTATGGGAGATCCAAAGTGCTTCAAAGAAGAGATAATTGGTGGATCAGAGGATACCAAGTTCAACTGGAGCAAGGCAATTTGTGTTTTCTAATGTCTGCAGTCTTTTTTTTTTTTTTTTTTTTTTTTTTTGTGTGTGTTTTTGAATAAATGTTAAAGACTGTTGTGTTTCCTTTTTCATTTCCATGCACTTTTGATGAATAAATGTAAAAGACTTTAATTAGTCTCTTTTTCAGTAATTTCTATGAACTTTAGCTTCGTTTTATTATGGTTTGGGAACTTATACTATACATTTGCAGCTATAATTTTTTTTCCTAAAAATTATGAATGGACATATATCATATCAAGAGACATTTGTGGAAAAACAGAGGACCTTGTGGAGTAAATTTCATGATACACTTAGATCTTGATGAATATATATGGTTCTAGTTACAGTTTCTTGCGGTAACCACAGCATCAGACTTTGAGAAAATTCAATGGTTCCGTGAGTGTAACGCTACCCTCTTTTCTATTGAGTATTTGGCTTATATATCTTGGTGCAAAAAATAAAATAAAATAAATAAAATAAAAATAAAAATAAAATAAATTAGAACTAAGATCTACGAGAAGGCATATTTCTTATCCAGATAAACAGAAATACAGGTTTTAGGGAAAATAATAATAGCTAAAGATTAATTACCATATTACTCTTGATGCTCCAACTAGCTCACTAGAATTTTAGTGGATTAGGCTTAGTAATATGCAT